CTAAAAATTACGTACAGGAAATACAGAAATTTTTGTAATAGTATTTTGAAAAAAGCGAAGAGACTATATGATACACAGGAACTAAGTAAAGCAACTAATAACCCAAAAAACTTGTGGGATACTATAAAACGAGTAACGAACACCGTTAAAAGTAAAAACCCTTCTACACAATTACTAACTTTATTACCTTCACCTAAGCAGTCGTGCAATAGTGTAAATTCGTACTTTGTAAATATTGGAGAGAAACTCGCAAATGATATAATCAACTGCAGAACCTTTCAAACAACAACCTCCCCGCAAACCCCATCTAACATCACATCTACTTCATCTTTTGTCCTAGATCCTACAGATCCTAATGAAATTATTTCAGTTATAGACTCCTTACGGTCTAATGCTGCTACTGGTTGGGATGGCAATTCGCCTTCCTTCCTAAAGAAATATTCAACTACTCTGGCACCGATCTTATGGCATAGATTTAATCTTTGTTTCGACACTGCTGTCTTTCCCACGTCACTTAAAAAGGCAATTAATCATCCAGTCTTCAAGGGAGGTGACGGGAACGTACCAAATAATTACCATCCCATAGCGGTTCTCAGTACTCTATCAAAGGTTCTCGAAAGATTGATTAATAAAGGACTAGTTTCCTACCTCGAACATTATAATTTAACTTCTTCACAGCAGTTCGGCTTTCGCAAAAATAAATCAGCTAATGATGCAGTTCAAAGTTTAATCGATCATGTCGTTCAGAACTTGAATCAAGGTAAAAAGGTCCTAACTATATTTTTGGATCTCGCGAAAGCGTTTGACACCGTTCCTGTCTCGACTCTCTTACTCAAATTAGAAAAGGTAGGTGTCAGGGGGTTGCAACTAGATCTCTTTCAAAGTTACCTCACAAATCGCTCCCAGACAGTCAGGATTGATGATCACAATAGTGATGACCTCCCAGTCTATTACGGCGTACCACAAGGAAGTATATTAGGTCCCACACTATTCTTAGTGTTTGTCAACGATCTATGCAACCTTAATATTCCAAATGCTAAGATTATATCATTTGCAGATGATACTGCAATAACATTCGCCGCCGAAACATGGTCTGCACTTGAGCACAAGGCTCAAATTGGCTTCGACCTTATAACAAATTGGCTTTATTCCCACACACTAACCCTTAATGTCTCCAAAACTAAACTTATTACCTATTCTATTAGTTCAGTCTCCCAACCAAATTTACCAATATCCCTTAAAGCCCACTCTTGCCACAGACATACTCAGGTCTGTTGTCAATGTCCAACCATATCCTCTGTTGACAATATTAAATACCTAGTTATAATCTTAGATAAAAACCTAAATTTTAAAAGCCACATTAATCTTCTCACTGGCAGAGTCCGTAAATTAATTTACATATTTAAAACCCTAAGAAGTATTGCTAACTCTACTGTTATACGTAAAGTTTATTTTGCCCTATGCTTATCCATTATTACATACTGTATTTCCTGCTGGGGTGGTGCTGCTAAAACTAACCTAATGAAGCTGGAGGTGGCACACAGAGCCATTTTGAAAGTGGCTACTTTCCGGCCTATCATTTTTCCAACTAATCAGTTATACAACGACTGGAACGTCCTTAATGTTCGGCAACATTTTATTCTGCAAACAGTTCTAATGCAGCACCGCAAAACCCCTTACAGGGAAACAAGTAAACGTCGAAAAGAAAAAATTTGTTCTCTTCCACAAGTTCGCTTATCATTCACTAAAAGATTCTTTTATTTCCTGGGTCCGTCTCTTTACAACAAAATAAGCGAAAAATGTCCTATATATGGGTTATCATTATATAACTGCAAGATAGCTGTCCGCTCATACCTTCAAAACACATCTTATGACGAAACAGAAAAATACCTAAAGCGACTGATTATAAAATAACTAACCTGATTTATCTACTCTCTCACACAAACACACACATGTACACGCAAACACACACGCACACCCACGCATACGCACGCACACACAAACACACGTACGTAATTTGAATAACTAGAAATTGATATAATTGTAGCACTTTTAAATGTATGCATGTAAATATTATATACATAATGTTATGGGGATTGAGACTGTTACTCCTTAATACAGGTTATTCTGTAACCTAGCCAGGAGTGCAGAGCTACATCCACTAGATTAAGGACATATTTTATAGATAGTACAAACAATGTAATGTCACACCAATGTACTACAATCACTGTATATAAATAAAGTTATCTTATCTTATCTTACATCACTCACCTTCGATTTGCCGACAATACAGTCCTTATGGCAGAATCGCTGGAGGATCTAAGCACTATGCTCAATGACCTCAATAGTGTCTCCTAACGGATAGGTCTTAAGATGAACATGGACAAAAAACAAAAATCATGTTTAACGTCCATGTCACACCTATGCCGGTAGTTATTGGGAGTACTAAGCTCGAAGTAGTTGACGAGTATGTTTACCTGGGACAAATAGTCCGACTGGCTAAGTCCAACTCCGATTCAACTCGGCTGGGCAGCGTTCGGGAAACTACGACACATCTTCTCGTCATGTATACCTCAAAACCTGAAAACGAAATTGTACAACCAGTGGGTGTTGCCAGTGACGACTTACGGATCTCAGACGTGGTCCTTCACTGCTGGCCGAATGAGGAAGCTCAAGGTCGCTCAGCGAGCTATGGAGAGGGCTATGCTCGGGGTTTCTCTGCGTGATAAACTTAGAAGAGGATATCCGCAGTAGAACCAGAGTAACCGACATAGCCCAACGGATTAGTAAGCTGATGTGGCAGTGGGCTGGCCATATAGCTCGAAGAACCGACAACCGATGGGGAAAAAAGGTTCTGGAGTGGCAGCCTCGTACCGGTAGGCGAAGTGTAGGGCAGCCTCCCTAGTAGTCCTCACTAGTTGGAGTGACGACCTGGTAAGACATGCAGGAAGTAGATGGATGCAGGTGGCTCAGGACCGTGCTTTGTGGCATTCCTTGGGGGAGGCCTATGTTCAGCAGTGGACTTGTGAAGGGCTGTAATGATGATGATGATATATATACATACAACAATGGCAGAGAGCTGTACCTATTCTTTTTTAAGCATTTTAACGTTTTTTATCCTTTTACTTTTAGAAATGTCTGTATTTTTGTTTATCCATTTCTAATGTAATTCATATAAATGTAATTCATATAAAATTAATTAATAATTCAGTAAGAAACATTAATTTTTACACTTTACTACCAAATTAACTTCCCCCGCTATGAATTCTGTCAAATATTTCACCTCATTCCTAAGTGGTAACTCTGGTGACAGAAGTCGTGAATGTCCTCGTTAGGATACTGCATCTAAAACAACTATTATAATAAATAAATGATTAAGGACGATGATTTGATATCCTTGTTAGCCAACTTTTGCCTTTTTTTATATTAATGTACACACTCACTACATACTAATATATCTTAACAGGTTTTTTTTAAAAAATAACCTCCACACTGGGATTTTCTCCTATATCATGTGGGCAGTTTACAAACATAAATTGCTCAAGGACAAACATCCAGACCCGGAACAATTATTTGTAGGCCATACAAATACTTGTTGCTTGCGGGATTCAAACCCGCGACCCTTGGTGCTGCAACACAATTGCTAAGCCACTGCGCCACGGAGCCGTCTAAAGGTTGTATTAGCTATTGCAACTCCTTGGCGACTCCAAAAAAAATATACAGGAATAGCAAAGGATTTCACTTTAAATTTTTCATTCAATTTATCTGCATGAATTACTAAGTAAAAAATTAACTACATCTAGACTGATTTTAATTGTTACCCAATTAAAATGTTATATAAAAAGTTACTTCATAATGCTCGGCAACAAGCTATATGTGAAACATCGCAACATGTTAGACAATATAGCTCTCCACACACTGTTAAATTGCTCATTGATTGCAGTCTAGTGTGTCCTGAATGTGTGCACACTCCGTGACGCGGTTCTTTCTCATGATACAATAAGTTGCTAAGGTTTGTTGAGTTGACAATTCCTAAACAATATTACTTCCTGACTAACCTACTTGCATTATGTAAAAAGTTGTACCCTTTAAAAATATTACATTACTGAAGTATTATAAATTAAGAGTAGGAATATTTTCTAAATAAAATTTTAATTTAAAATAATATGTGATGTAGTAATAAAATATAAACCCATAAAATAACAAGCTCGTTTTGAAATTTTATTCATGTAAATTTGCAGATATAATTAATACAAATTATGATCATGTAAACCAGGATCTATGGTAAATAATATATCTAGTAACTGTTTTAGAGGTCACTGTCCCATACTGCCTCCAAATTTGTGGACTCCAGCCATTGTTAAATTCAGGTGACTCATCTGATACATAAAAAGGCAGTCTCGGAAAGGTGGTGTTACAAATACTGTCTTATTTCTAAGTTTACATTATGAGATTTTCATTGTGATAGTGATTAAACACAAAACTTAAACTATGTGAACATACCTACTACTTGAGTGGCTACAGTACACATGCATGACTTTAGGTTTCTCACATTCTAGGTGGCTTCAGGTGCAGAGCTATATAACTAAGTCCTATAGATTAATGTGACAAACCCTTTATTGCCTATATTATGTCATCATACATCACAATTTTCACTAAAGCTATCTGTACATTTTGGGTAATTTAAGGTGTTTCATTTCAATGCCAATCTCAATGACCACCTAAATGATGCTACTAAATTGAGCAGCTTGTGTATTATATACATTGCTACTGTTGGAGAGGAAATCTTTATAATATAATTATTCATCAGCATCATTTGAATGGCTAAACATAATTTTATGGAATCATGGATTGCTAATAAACAATCTAGATACAAATTGAACTATTCACAAACAAATCCATAAATAAACTTTGATTAAAACAAAACATTCAAATACTTAGTACGTCGACACTAATGATTTCACGAATGCTGGACCATTCACAACAGAGAGCAGTAACAGTTATTCCTCGGACTCTTTTTGTTCTGGTTGGTTCTTTTTCAACCAAGGGTGTTGAAGGCACTCATAGGCAGTGGCCCTTCTATTAGGGTCAAAGTCTAACATAGGCTTCAAAAAATCAGCAAACTCCTCTGCATCTTTCTGACTCCATTCATATTTATCAGTGAGTACAGACACTAAGCCCCATGGTTTTAGCCCTGTTATGTTTCTTAATTCACCTTTTTTATTAAAGAAAACCTTGGAATATTTACCAGATGCTGCAATTCGCTTGGGTATATCACCAAGTAGTTCAATAATATGGGCAAGATGATCTTCATCTCTACTGTAACCATCGCCAGAATGAGGTTCAAAAAGATAGTCTCCGGTAGCTAATTCAAATGCCATACACGCAGTACTCCAAATATCTGCTGATGTACCATATCCTGCACTCAAAAGTACTTCTAAAGACCGATATTGCCTAGTTTGTATATCTTCAGTAAAATGTCGATGAACCCAACAGGCATTACCTAGATCAGCAATTTTTACTTCTAAGTCACATACATCAAATGCAGGATCTGGTGTTTTATCAACCTGTTTGCCTTTTGATTGGGAGTTGAAGGAGGGAGGTGTATCAGTCATTTCCCCTTCAGACATGGGAGTTCCTGCATCGTCACCACAGTTATACTGTTTATGTCTTACTTGTACTGCTTCAGCATCAGTGTCAAATGCCTCGTCATCAGGTCTTTGTAAGTCAGCACAACCATTTACATTAGATTCATTCTCAGACCGTGTTGTTTCTATAACACTTGCTTCTTCTGGTGTTTGTGGGGAGTCATCATTATCTTGGGACATTGGAGCGGACTCACTATTATTCTCAATTTTCTTCTGTTCTTCCATTTCCTCTATTTGCTCCATTTGTTTCTTAAGTAACATTGACTGGCGTTTTGCTTTTTTCTTTAATTTTTTCTTTTTGTTTCTACTCATCTTTGCAGTAACAACTGGCTCTTGAAATTCTTTTGGTGCTGTACTAATGAGGGAATGCGGCAACCTCAGGCCTAGGGAATGTAGCTCTGTTGCTTCTGCTGCTAGTTTACGAATGTAGGCTTCATCAACACACACCAACACATTTTCAGGTTTTATATCTGTATGAATTATCTTGCACTTTGTATGCAAATAGTCCAACCCTTCTAAAACCTGTCTTATAATAGTTTTAACATTATCTCGTGGAATACCTCTGTAGTTGGATTTGAGTATCAATTTTAGCAGGTGATGACCTAGCACTTCAAATACCATACACACATGGGTTCCATTCACACCCGTAATTTTGAAATCGTTAAGCAATTGTACCGTCTTGTTCCTTTTAGGATCAGTAGGATCACTGTCACGAACAGCTTTAAGAATTTTAATTTCGTCTAAAGCAGTTTCCGTGAAGTGGGGTGCCGATTTTACGACCTTTAGCGCAACAAAGCGCTTGTCCACAAGATCCCAACACAACCATACAGTTGAAAAATGACCCCAGCCTAACTTTCTAGTGACGTGGTAGCGATTCAGGAACAGATCTCCTATTTTGACAGGATGGTATCCACCCTTACAGTAATCGGCAGTGTCTTCTTGCTCTTCGTCGTCACTAGCATATTGCTCATCTTCGTCCTCCTCGATAGTTTCATTGGAGGAACTATGTGTTGGTTCAAGACGATTCTGATTTTGATTGCGCAGCCCATTTCCTTGTCCACCAGCGCCGTGGTCCTCTTCACGATTTTTCTTCTTACCAAGTTTATGTCGTTTCTTTTTCGCCTGAATGGCGAGTACTCTTCTATTAACATCCGATTTGGAACTCATTTAGTAAATTTAAACACTTTCAACACCTTGCAAGATATAAAAATTTATCTTTTCATCTCAACCTTTTTGTTTGAGTATGGCGGCCGGTTGCAGACAGAACAAAATGCGCTCGAACATGAACCTGTAGTGTTGCTATGTTTCGTTGTACCAAAGAGCATTTATTCACGTCGTTTGAATTGAAGGAATGCCAAAATACACTATACTTTAAATTACAATATTACCGTGAAACCTGGCAACTTTACCATTTTTGAAAGGGCTTAAAAGTTTAGGACCAATTTTCCAACATAAAAGGTACTCTCATACTGGGCGTTAATATTAAATATGACACTATATTCTTCATATATTTGGTATTTATTAGTGATTTAAACAAATACTAATATTAAATAGACAAAATACTCAAAAATAGAAAATGACAAAGTTAACCTCACTTTCTAACAACTTTGCCATCAGGTTTTATAAGGATAATAATAGGATTTGACTTCAAGGTTGAAGGTAAGTTTACCTCATAATATATTAATATAATACACAACCTTTGAGCATAGAAAATATGCTCAAAGATACACAACACATATAGCCCGTTTACTCTCGCCTCGCGCCTCGCCTCGTACCTCGCCTCGCAGCTCGCGTGTTGTTGCGAGGTAACGAGTGCCTGTTTACACTCTCGCGATGCGTTCAGTTTGCGTTGAGCCAGCGATGATGAAAGACGTCGAAATAATAGCGGCATCAACTCTTGCCTTAATAAGTATTTATCGATGCTTGACCATTTTAAAAAGAAGGAAATTAATAAAAATACGTCGTTGAGAAAGAATATGACGGATGATATCTATTCATCGAAACAGAACATTTTCAGTTTCATAATTTTATACAAATTGCTAGTACCTATTGTGTAAGATTAAATAATATTATTTTATTAAAATTGTAATTTTAAAACAAAAGCAATTCGAATGTTATTATGGAAGGGCGCCGTAAACAAACTGAAACGAGACGCAAGTGTAAACACCACGCTCGCGTCCCTCGCGAGGCCCTTTGCCTCGTGCAAAAAAAAACCGCCTCCGACGCGAGCACCGCGAGTGGCGAGGCGAGCCACGAGCTAGCATTTACACTCGCGCCTCGTGGCTCGCCTCGCGACTCACCTCGCCACTCGCGTGAGAGTGTTAATGGGGGGTCAGAGTTATGCTTTGAGTTTCTACTTTAATTGTGTTGCACATAGCAAAGTTTTACCAATTTACACAATATCTTTATTAATTATAGTCTATGTATTGTTCTGATGTATAAGCTATATTATTGTAAAGTTTAATTAAAATACATTCAGTAGTTTTTGCGTGGAAGAGAAACAAACATCCATACATCCATATATTATCCTCACAAACTTTCACGTTTATAATGTTATTACGACGGCACTTAAAAAAAGACCCATAGTTTCTTTAGTGTTCTTTTCTGGAAAGGGCTTGTTTTCCGAACCTCTGAACCAGTGTATATTTTGACGTTTTTCAATATGGTATAAGATATAAGTGTTGTGAGCAAAGATAATATAATCACCACGTTTAGTTGCAAGTAAAAATTTAATAAAAGATTTGACTTTGACACACATATTTAAAGCTCATAGTCACCAGCACAGAACACTCCGAGAGATCACCTGCAACCGAATTCAAACAAAGATATCTTAAATACATATTTAATAATCTATGGCTACAGGTGCGATGTCATTTTCGAGGTACAAGACGGAATGCCTTACAGCCTGTAATTATACAGGTACTCTATACCCTTCTAACCAGGACAAAGCAGTGCATGCATTACCGTTTGGCGGCAGAAATAAGTAAAACGATTATGCTGATTATGCCCATAGAAAAGGAATATGACTACCTAGTAAAATGAATTGTAAAGTTTAATACAAACCCCTTTTTACTTCTTTCTATAGAAGTCTTGTCATCCCGTGGGTATTGATAGAGGCAACAGAGGGAAACTGAAACAGAAAATCTTACGCATAACAACTGAAAATAATAAAAATAAAAGTTGCCAACTTGTCTTCCAAGCTTGGCAACTATGGCAAAATCCCCCAAATCTGGTAATCTATATTCAGCAGTGGAATTTGATTGGCTGTAACGAATGATTGAATGAATAGAAGTCTTGCCAATAAGAATAAACAGAGTGCAGAACGAACTTTCTCATGCTGGCAAAAAAAATTACGGTCTCATCTTTTTTTTTGGAATAGGTGCAGTGTATTTTAAAATGTATAATCTGCAAGCTTAGATTGTGGATTACGGTAAAATCTTACAGTCTATTTATTTAGGATTGGATTATAAGAGGATTACAAAAGACTAATAATAATAAAAAGGTATTTTACTCTATTCAATTCAATTTCATTTATATAAATAATAGACGAATCATCTAGATAAATAATTAATTTCTTTATTTAGCTTGATAAAGTATTAAAATAGATGTTGGGCCTTCACTTAAAGTAATATTGCATATTACTTGTAAAAAGATAAATTTACTGAGGCCTGTAATGAAGAATAGTAACTAACCGATATCCTCGTTTCGATAAGCACTTAAATTTTGCATACAAATTCAGAAATTTAATTGCATGTATTTCTCTTACTTTACATTTCAATATCAAAAAGATATTCATTTATTTTTCGTTTACTTTTGAGTATCTATTGCTTTACTCTTTTTTGTTGATATACATTTAATAGGTAATAAAACAAATCCTCCCAAAGCTATAAAAAAACCAGCAGCATAAAAAGCTATAGGGTATCCATATTTATTTTTTATTACACTTGCAACAGGCGTGCTCACTAAACTTCCTAAACCATGGAATAATAAAATCATCCCAGTAGCATTAGTGAGTTTTTCTAGTCCATAGAGTGATACTAATACCATACTTCTAAGACAAGCAATACTAGCAACACAAAATCCAAACACAGTGCAGTAAAAATATTGATAATATAAATTGTATGATAAGTCTGATGCCATTGTACTTAAACCTGCTACTATACATGTTCCTGCAAACATAAGCAAAGGATCTATTTTACAAGCTAATGCACCAAGTACAATTCTACCTATTGCATTTGACAATCCAATTGCACTCACAAATAACGTGCAATGATATGGATCTACACCAGCATCCAGGTTGCGATTTTGTATAAAAACATAAGGTACTAAAAAACCTAAGTATATTAAAAACGCAGATAAACAAAGTAACAAAAATGAACTTTGTTTTAATAAATTAGGATCCATCATAGTCGCCAAAACCCTTCTTGCTGCAGTTGTAAAAACTCCTCGCTGCTCTTGCATATCGGCTGTTGTTGCTGCTCTTGATACAGCTAATTGGTACTCTAACCCAGTTTTTGCTTCTGTTGCAGTTTCCATCATACTTTTTTGATATGCAGGTAATTTTTCTAGCTTCCCGTCATAAAATGCATCATCTCGATACATAGGGCGAGATTGTGGTATATGCTCTTCCCAATGAAATAAGCGTCCCCAGAAGTTTCTCTTTTTTGGCAATACTGTATTCTCAGAAACATTTACGTTTCCATGATATTGGTCAATTACATTACTTTTAGATATCATATCTTGTATTTGTTTCAGCTGATGACGATTTATACCGCTTTGAGGACCATGAGCCATTAAAGTAAGTTTCGACATTGCTGCAGTAGAAGGACCTGGTTGAGCAGCCGAAGTTGAACCTTCTTCAACTATAGCAGCTGCAGTTGGAAAATTATAATTTGAAACAGCACTAAAAAGACGTTCTGTAGTAGTTGGTATTAAATTATCCTGTTTAGTACTTGAAGCAGTCAAACGAAGGGCTGCAGCAGATAAACTTGGCAAGTAGGTAACAGTGCGGGTTGGGTCATCCGTCGTTTTAACGACGGTTAAGGAAAGTAATGGGCGGAATGTCATACCAATAAAATAAATTAACCCAAATAGACCAGAATGAAATAATGTTGTATTACGCCATCCAGATAAATTAACTAAATATGTATTTACAGGAAACATTGACATAACGCCAATACTGGATCCAGACGTTGCTATTGCCATGGCAATTGGTCGAAGTTTTTCAAAATAAAAACCTACGATTAATCCAGCTGATAAATTAATCATGGAATAACCACATCCAGCTATTGCACCGTAGAACAGACATAGTGTTGCGTAATCAGTCGTAAAATACGATGCAAACAGAGAAAAGGCGCAAATAACTGATCCCGACATTACACATGCTCTAAATCCAAAACGATTAATGTAAGCAGAAGCCAACGGACCAGCGATAAAATACAAAGCAACTGCTATAGAATTTAGAAGAGCAACTAAAGAATCTGATACATTTAAATCGTCACTCATGTCTTTAAGAAAGCTTCCAAATGTAAACGATACCCCATCCAGTACAAAAATACTCATAAAAGATGCAGCTACAACAACCCACCCCCATCCACCTTCTTGGGGAACAGATATCTGAGCAGTGATTTCCGTTTCTTCCCCACCTGCTAGGTTATCTGGTCTACTAATAACTCTGCTTGGTATGACCAGAATACTTTTCTTATCATTTTTGGCTATGACAGGCTTATGCGACATTATACTGTAAAATTCTTGTTCTATAAATTAATGAACTATTTTGCGAACGTCTTATAATTTTTTAATAAAACATTTGTTTCATAGAAAATAGTTATTTTTCAAATTGTTTTGCAAATAATTTACGACACTTGTAATTGTACTTGGATGTCATAGATATAGATGCAGATTGTCATTAAGCATAGAGTATTTGGTTACGCTTTTAGCTACTATAAAGAATAAAAAAAATTACATAATTTGTAGATTATAATGAGGTTAAGATAGATAAAACTCTATAAATAATTTTATGTAACAGCTTTCCTCTGTTAGAAAAATTGGTATATATTGAAAGTTGTTAGGATTCGATGTAATAGGGGTCGACGTAATAGGAGCAGATAAGCGCCGCCATATTGATGATAATCTTCACCGGCTGATATTTCTTAGATAATAATTTG